TGGTGATTTATAATGTTCAAAACAGTGCCAAAGTGGTGAAAAAACTGTTCCAAAATCAGCCCACAAAATGGTACCAAAACAGTGCCAAAAGCAGTTGACGAAGACACTTAAAATGACGATTTATAATACTCAAAACAGTGCTAAAGTGGTGTAAAAACTGCTCCAAAATTAGCCCACAAAACGGTACCAAAATAGTGTCAAAACCAGTTGACGAAGGCACTCAAAATGGTGATTTATAATATTCAAAATAGTGCTAAAGTGGTGTAAAAACTGCTCCAAAATCAGCCCACAAAACGGTACCAAAACAGTGTCAAAACCAGTTGACGAAGGCACTCAAAATGGTGATTTATAATGCTCTAAACAGTGTCAAAGTGGTGCAAAAACTGCTCCAAAACCAGCAAACATTACTCGCTAAAATAGTGCCAAAATCAGCCCAAACCGACTAAAGTGGCTCCAAAAATTGTAGCAAAACAAACTCTTAAACAGTCCCAGAAACCGTGCATTTAAAGGATTCAAAATCAGTGTTTAAAGGCCGTCAAAACTACATTCAAACAAGTGTGCAAATCAGCACCTAAACTCTACATACATCTCCCCAAATCAGTAGGTAAACAAACCCTAAACAATGTTTAGTATGCAACGAAACAATTCTTTTATCACACATATAAGTATTCAAGTTTCCAGTGTGGGACATGTAAACCTATAAGAACTGGACGGTATATGTGTATGCAACAAAAATAAGAGTTCAGGTGTTAAATATGTGCATACACAAGAATTATGCGATAGGTATGTAAATGCCCCAACTACACCCTAAACAAATCAATTGTCCTAAGGTTGACGTGGCAAGCTTAGTCTCCCCCACTCCCTAAACATTTTGTTTATGGGAATGTTATTGAATGAATATATGAATTTTTTTTTTTTTTTTTTTTTAAATTTCAGCTTGCTGCCAATCAAATGGTCAGGGCTTAATTAGAATTATCATCTATTATGCCAGATAATACTCAAAACTTAGCTGCTATGGGATTTACTAAGCCTGAAATTTCATGACGTATTAAAGGAACATTTACATGCAAAGTAAACAATTCTTATGTATTTACATATTGATGCCTAAACTTCCATGTTTACATACATACCACGTTGTCTTATCAATAAGAAGACCTATTTCACATTTTAACCATTGAAATGGAGTTGCTTTTGATTCGATATAAGTAATTTGTATGAGCGTGTGACTCAATCTTGTTTTTTTTTAAATGAATCGATACTAGAAGTTTAAATCCTTAGATCAGATAGAAAAAGAAACGAAATTCTTAAATCCATAACCACTTGGCAAGACAATATCGTTGGGAGGACTTTTGTGATCTTTAATCCAAACTTCATTTACTGACATTGCATTTCATTTAATTTTGGCGTGCTTAAATTGGTGTACAACTCAAGCAGAGAAATCATGTGATTATAAAATGCAATCAGGAATAAACAGTTGTGAAAGCATGAATCATAAGATCGCCTATAACAATGAATAATATTCAATTGTAAATCATGTAGAGCATGCTATCTTATAAGCAAATGAATTAATTAGCACAAGAGTTTTTTCTGTTATTGATCACTTCAGTGCAGGGTCGATTTTTCTGTTGTTGAAACCACCATGCGAGCTTAAACCAGAGAGATGGATGACACTTATACAACTCCCAAATACAAGATCACCCCTTAAATGAATTTTAGGAATACCAAAACTATAATAAATCTTGAAGGTTTGAATCCAAGAAATAAATCTAGAAGTTTGAACCTGACTTCGTCACCAAATTTTGAGACTAGGGAGTCGAACCGTGGTGCTGCTGCCGGTAGAGAAGTCGCCGATGGGGAAAAGTGGTAGAGCGGTTTGCGGTGCAGAGAGGAGAGCAGACGCGGCCGAGAGAAGGAAGGAGAAGCAGGAGCATGCGGGTATGGTGAGCAATTTCAGTGCAGGAGGAGCGGTGAGCGGGATTTGTCGTGAGGGAGAGAGAGGCGAGCGAAGCTTCAGTACAGGGAGTATGCGAACTTTGGTGTTGGGAATAGGCGAGCTACTTTGGTGCAGAGGAGAGGGGTTCGGTGAGCGGAAGAGGAGACGAGGCAGGTGAGTCTCGAGTGGGGTCCTTTGGCACGGGGAGCAGGAGATCGCGCGAGGGGGAGGCAGAGGCAAGGCAGGCGAAGGTTTCGGTGCAGAGGGAGAGCTCGTAATCTGGTTGTGAGGAAGGGGAGGTCGAATGCTTTCTTTTCGGTGAAGAGCGGGATCTTATATCCCGGGAATTGCAAATGAACGTTACGGGATCTTGGGCGCGGATTAATTAGTTTCCATTGATTGAGAAATCTAAATGGAAATCTAATAACACCTGATTAAAGTGAGATTGGGCAGACTTTATTTTGAAATTCAAAATTTAAAATTCAAAATTTTGCAACTTGAATCTAGCCCAAATCAAATTCGAGTTGAACCTGCGTTTACCCTAGGCCTGTGCCCCGCTAATTAAAAAAATGTGCATCGATTTTTGTGTCATTTGTGCGCGCGCGTAACCTTGACTATATGGGTGTCCTTCCCGGCTAAAATTGATGTTCTGGACGCGTCTGCGCTATCCGTTTCGTAATCTGGGGTCGTCTAGACAAGTTCGTCGACGATCGAGCCAAAAAATGTGTCAACTTCGTGTGTGGTGTAGCGAGTGCGTTGTTGAGTCACGGAGGGTTCAGCTAAGGCCGTTTGATTTTGTATGAACTCATTTTCAGAACCTCTATATGTTGGTCCTTAGCCTTTGTAACTAAAAGTTGAGTGCTTAGAACACTCATGCGAGTTCTTCACAAAAATGGGTCAAGAAGTGGTTTAAAGTTTTATGGGAGATGGGCTCCATTTTTAGTCTGCTAAGACGGTCAACAAGGAACTCCTAAGGCTAGATTTTGGGTTCTGGGAGTGAGAAACTAAGATCTCACTGAAAATGAGGTCATTAGCTTACCATAACTAGTGTCTGTGATTGTAGAAGGGTTTCTACTTCATCGGTCCTCTCTCTCTACTTTAGCTCTAAATTTTTCTATAAATTAAAATCTAAAGTATGCATTACTCCGATTTTACTTTTGCTGTCATTTTATTTCCTGGGCATATCTAATATCATATTTTTTGAAGGGGAGCCTATATGTCTTGTTGTTTTGTATGAATGAATATTCTCAATTATTGGAGATGAAAAACTATGAGTTGTAAGGATATAGTTAGGAATAGCAAGAAACGTGATAATAGATACATTTAGCTTAGCTAAATTACGGTGTCTTTAATTAGTGATAAAATGAGGATATAATTAAGATAAAATTTTTGTATGTAATTACAAATAAATCTTGAAAAAGAGTTTTCTCGAACTTTTAGTTGACTTAAAATAAAAATAAATCAAAGTCCTCGAATTAAAATAAAAGGTGTTTTCATGAATTATCAAGTCATTCTTAAAAAAAAATTGAGATAGAATTTATGAAAAGGCGAGCGTTTCTTCATTGTGTTATTAAATTATTGGAAGATGCATAACAGTAGATTGGATGGTTTGTGCGAAGATAAAATAATATCAGATTTATTGAAGAAACAAAGCCCATTCCTATTTCTTGACGATCGAATGATTTTTATCAATTATCAGAGATGGAAAGCTAAGTTGTAAGGATACAGTTAGGTGGAGCCAGAATGGTGATGATAGGTACATTTGAAGTATTATGCTCCATGTCAGGGTAGAGATTACGTTTAGATAATCTATAGCTCGAGCATTATGCTCTTTATTTCTAAGATAGAGATTCTGTGGCTTGAGATTCTTTCATTAAAATTTTCTAATTTTCCTACTTGAAATTTGTTTTTTTAACTTCATTTATTCTTATTTATTATTGTTATTGTACCTATTTATTTGTGATCTTCATTATGTTCTATTTTTTATTAATAAAATATTTAGAATAAACTATTATCTTTCAAAGTAAAATCCTGTTGGGCAGCCGTTTGAGGATCTGATTGGGATAGTTTTCTGTTTGTGTTGTGTTTCAAACCATCATCACATTTTTATTTGTGAAACTGCTTTCTTCTTGTTTTCTAGTGCTTTTTTGTTGTTTTCTAAAATATTTGTGATAGAAGGGTATTTTTAACAACCAAAATTGTTAAGTGATAGTTATAAGAAAGATGTTGCCTGAATTTTTGAGAAAAAAACATTTATAATTTCCCTCTGTCATTTTTGTAGAAAATTGTTTCCCCAACACAATTTTAAAACCACCCACAACCGCCCCAAAGAGACCTTAAGTTTCGAATCTGCTGTGTTAAGTCTATGAGATTGAGAAGTTTGAGGTTATAGAAATTCATTTCACATCAAGAAGTTGGCAAACTCATGCACGCATGCATGACTGCACAAATCATGACTTGGGTTCAATCTGACAAGTTTCGATTACACCGGTTCTATATTCTGGTGTAACAAAATAGTTGTGGTTGCTCAATTTTGTTATTAACAAGATTGTAAATTGGGTTATCAGGCCATAATCAGGCCTGCTTTGGTTGTTATTAGGTTAAACCTTAAGCCATCAATTTTGATTGTAGCATGAAGAGTGCTTTGCTCACTTTTATTCTTGGCAATAGTATCTCATTAGATTCTCTTTGTAGATTCCTGCATCACAGCTTTGGTAGCTAAACAAACAAATTATATATCATGATGCAAGTCACCATATTTTCTTGGGAAATTTAATAGATACCACACAATTCTTATATATTTACATATCTAACAGTTTAAAGTTTTATATTTACACTTATTATAACACTTCATCGTTCTAAACCTATGCGTGAAAAATTTATACTTCACTTCTAAGAAAGATAGTGACGGTGTTAAAGGTTTGAGTGACATGCATGTCAATATGAATGTTTAGGCATTAGATATGTAAATAAATAAGAATTGAGTGTATGTCTATAAATGTTCTCATTTACTTTTGTTGAATTTCACATAAATTGGTGTCATTTATTTTTTTCTTGCTTTGGATAGAGATTAGCTGGAGCTTCTTTGTTGATCTTGGCCAACAAGCAGGATATTCAAAGTGCCCTTAAGCCCTCTGAGATTGCAAAAGTAAATTTAACTCAAAGCCATATTTGTAATTACCCTTTTACAAATGCAAATAAATAAAGTAAATATGGATGTGGCATGAATGAATTTTCTCATTCATATTAAATTTCTTTCAGGTTCTAAATCTGGATGCTTTGGATAGAAGCCGGCATTGGAATATTATTGGCTGCAGTGCTTACAGTGGTGGAGGTTTGTTCCAGGGGTTTGATTGGCTCGTTCAGGACATTGCTTCCCGGATTTATGTGATCGACTGATCTGGTTATTTCTTTACCCCAAACCCTAAACAGTGACTGCTGTTTGGTTGCAGATAAGATAGATGAATATGTTTTCTACAGTGCGTGTTTTTTAGGAAAAAAAACAATAAACAAAAACACGAAGTTATGAATGAAACTATAACAAATAAATAATTTCGCAGTACGTTTGTTTGTCACTTTTAATAAAATACATACTTAATGTAGTGTTTTTTTTTTAAGAAAATCTTTGACAAAATAAATTTCCTGCAAAATTATAATTGTAGTGTTTTTTTTTTAATTTGTTTTGGGCCATTTACATATATACCACCCAATTTTCATGTATTCACATAACACCAAAAAAATTCACATTAACATGCAAATCACTCCATTCTCTCGGTGGTCTGAGGTCACAAAAAAAATATCATTATTCTTTTTAAAAATAAAATACATATTTTCTAATATAAATTTATAGCACTAAAATGTCAAGTGGTATTATCAGAAACCGATTAGATTCTAAAATCCTGCCTGCTCCACAATCACCAACTGCGCTAATAGTGAGCCCAGATTGGGTCATATTAAAGCTTTAAGTAGTTATAAAAATCTGAAATTAAGGAATAACACTCGACTTAGTCTCTCTCTCTCTCTCTCTCTCTCTCATTGCTAACCTAACATTTTTTGGCATTTTAATATTTCAATATTTTATGAAAATAATAATAATAATAATAATAATAATAATAATAATAATAATAATAATAATACCCTACTAAGCAAGTATTAAACCTGCAATTTAGGCGCTTTGAGAAAATATACACTCTTCACAAAACCTTTTCCAACCTCTCCAACACCTTTAAGTTTTTTTATGATCTCATTCTCATCATTCTCCCGCTTGCGTTTCTGCAAAATATCCACCAAAGCACATCAGTCACACTGCCTCCTTGTCCAAAATACATGAGAATTGTATGGTATGTAAATATCAAACTTTGGGGGTTAGATATGCAAATACATAAGAATTGTATGGTATGAATGTATGCAAAATTTCCTTTTATTTTTGAAAATGATGAGCACCAAAA